AGAAGACTGGCCTTGTCCCTGGTCCTGTGACGCGGTGCTCGCTGTATGACAAGGAACCTCATGGCCTTGATACCTGTGTCCCTCAGAGAAAGCCTCCCCTGCAGCCCCCAGGGCCCCCTCGGGCTCTGAGGCCCGTCTCCCCTGCAGGGCTGGGAGCCACGTGGGGTGTGCACAAGGGGAGAAAGAAGTATTTGTTCTGCTGTGACCGTTTCTCATGGCTCACAGCTTTCCCTTGTCCTAGGATCTTGCCTGGGGTGATCTGTGTAGCCTGTGGACTTCACTTTCTGCCATCTTTGTTTGTCTGGATGGCGTGAGAAACGTCTTTACTCTCTTGGATGATAATGGTAGCGGTGACAGGGACAATGTGAGCATGTCCTTGCTCCTGGGAGGTGAGGGCTGCAGTGTGTTGGGATTCTGCAACCTACTTCCAAATGGGTCGGCAAAAGCAAGCATGTGTGTGCGTGTGAGAGACAGAGAGAGAGAGAGAGATGCGGGGATCTGGTGTGTGTGCGTGCATAGACCTGCGGCATACGTGTGTACTGCATGCTGTGTGGCGTGGGGGCGTGGAGGGGTGGGGTGTGTGCATCTGTGTGCGGTAGGTATGTGCATGCGTGTGTTCTGTGTGGTGTGTGTAGATATGCTTGTGCATGGGGTGGGTGTGTACGGGTTCATGCCATGTGTGTGTGCCATGTGCCGGGGGTGTGGTATGGTGTATCTGTACATGCTATGTGTGTGTGTGTAGGGGTGTGTGTGTCACACCGTGTGCTGTGTGTATGGGTGCACGCTGTGTGTGTGTGCGTGGGGGTGCGTACACGTACATGCTGCGTATACGTGCGGTATGTGTGCTGCGTGCAGGCTGCGTGTGCTGTGTGTAGGGGTGTGTGCCATACTGCGTGCTGTGTGTATGTGTGCACGCTGTGTGTGTGCGTGGGGCTGTGTACATGTACATGTTGCGTGTGTGCCATGTGCAGGGGAGTGTGGTGTGTGCATCTCTGTGTATCGGTAAGATTCTGCCGGTGTCCCCGGGGCCCTGGCGTGCTCTGTCCCTTCACACCCAGAGGAAGGAGGAGCGTTGGCAGCCACGGCAGGGAGAGGCTGTTTGGCCTCTGGCCTTGCCGGTCAACAGAGAAGACGGGACAAACAGGGAAAAAGGGCCCATCTCCAGACTGAAGCCTGCCCCTGGGCCGGCGGGCTGGGCTGGGCTGGGCTGGCTTAGGCTGAACCAAGCTGGGCATGCGGGAGAAGCCGGGGAGGGCTGGAAAGAGGGAGTGAGGGTGGGCTGAAGGGGAGAGGGCTCCTGTGGCTGGAGGGGAGAGGAGGGGGGAGTGGATGGGCTGGAGGGGTGTCCCTAGGGCCAGACTGGGGGAGAGGAAAGGGGAGTGGCTAGAGGGGAAGAGCCCAGCCCCCCTCTCAGGCCCCCCACATTGTCACACGCATGTCGTGAGCGGATGGGCGCCTGTGGGTCAAGCGTATGTGCACTTGTGGGCGTGTGCTGCATCATGTATGTGAGTGTGTGAGAGAGACAGACGGACCGACAGGAGGCTGGAGAGCAGCCTGCAGGAGTTGGGCCGCAGGAGCGCCTGGCCGGCCGAGTGCGCTGAAGCCCCCTCCTCCCGGGACAGGTAGCTACAGGTGGGGAAGGAGGAAGAGGGTGGGGTGTTGGGCTCCCACAGGGCCTTGGGGAGGAAGCCGGATCTCACAGGGGTACATGAAGCCCGGCTGGGCCTCTGCCCCCCTCCCTTCCAGTCCTTCCTCTCCCGCCAGGCCCTAATTGAGGTGGGGGAGGGGCTGCTGGCTGCAGCCCTGTGTGGCTCGTGAGGGGCCGCGTCCGTGCCCTAGGCGCTCACTCTGGGGCCCAAGGAAGGCCAAGAAGGAGCCCTGCTTGGGAAATGGAAGTCACATTTTGTCCCACAAAAGCCGTGGGATCCTGGCCTAGCCCCACTCATGCCTGGCCTCAGTTTCTCCACTTCTGAAGTGAAGGCGCTGTATTAAGTGCCCTCCATCCAAGAGGCGAGCCAGGCCGAAGTCCTAGTAAGGTGGGTCGCACGGGGTGTAGGTGGTGAGGGGTGGGCTGAGGGAGGATGGTGGGCATCGAGGCCAAGCTGGGGCCCTCAGGAGTGGGTGGAGGGAGTCCGGGGGGGCAGATGGGGGGGGGGCTGGCCAGGCCAGGGCACAGGAGGACAGGAGCCTACTTCCTGGTGGCCCAGGCGGGAGCCAGAGGTGGGGGGTGGGGACGGGGGCAGGGCAGGGGAGGAAGTCCCCCCCTGGGCAGTCACTCCCAGAGGCCTGAGTAGGGCAGGGCAGCGATGAAGAGCAGATCTGAGCACGCGGGCCACCCGTGCCGCCGCCAGCTGCCCAGGAGCCAGGGAGCCCAGCCAGGTGAGGGGCCGCGAGGGGTGGCCAGGGGCCTTGGGGCGGGGGTGGATGTGGGCTTGGAGTCTCCGGGTTCACCTTGGGCACCCACTCCCAAGCCAGGTCTCGAAGACTGCGTGGGTGGGTGGCCGGCTCTGTCTGACTGCCCCTCTGTGTTCTGCCAATCCTGGGAGCCTTCTTTCTGCCTCATTGGAGGTACCCCCAGCGCCTGTCAACACTCTCGTACACTGACATCCTCTCTCTCTTACACACACTCACACACACACACACACACACACCCCACAGCCCCCCACAGGCCCCCACTGACAAGCCCTCTGCCAACGGGCACCTCTGAAGGGTCCTGTGTCCTCCAGGAGCTCAGAGGACCTGTCCCACAGACCAGACCCCTGTGGCCCACCATGCTCAAGGCGTCCCCCACCTCCGGTAAGGTTCCAGCCCCAAGGAGGCAAAGCGGCTCCCCCACCCACCCCGGACGAGCCGGTGCAGCAATGGGGCTGCTCCTTTCCAAGGTCCCCCACCCAGGTCCTCTCCAGGGTGTGGGGGGGGCCGAAGGACAAGCGCTAGCTGTCAATGGAGGAGGGGGGGCGGAGGGGCCGTGGCTCTATCCTGCTCACCGGGCCAGGCTGCCCTTCCTCCCGGGCCATACCGGCCTGGGGGATGGGACCCGAGCGCGAATCCACACCCACGTGGTTTCCCTGCAGGAGAGCTCGGTGCTGGAATGCTGGGCACCAGGAAGGGGGAGGCAGGAGGGGAGAGTAGGGAAGCAGGAGCTCAGGGTGACCAGCCTGTCTCGTGTGGCACCACCTTGGGCCCGGGTCCCCTGCAGAACCCCTTCCCTAACTTGGATCTCTCCTTCCACCCCTGGCCAGCTGGGCCTGGGCCCGTCTCTCGACCCAGCTCCCCTGGCAACAGCAGCGAGGAGGAGCTGGATCCCCGGGACCCGCTGCTGGCCCGGGCCGAGCTGGCCCTGCTCTCGACGGTCTTTGTGGCCGTGACCCTGAGCAATGGCCTGGTGCTGGGCGCTCTGGCGCGGCGGGGGCGGCGGGGCCGCTGGGCGCCCATGCACGTCTTCATTGGCCACTTGTGCCTGGCTGACCTGGTGGTGGCCTTGTTCCAAGTGCTACCCCAGTTGGCCTGGGATGCCACCGACCGCTTCTGGGGTCCAGATGCGCTGTGCCGGGCCGTCAAGTACCTGCAGATGGTGGGCATGTATGCCTCGTCTTACATGATCCTGGCCATGACCCTGGACCGACAGCGCGCCATCTGCCGCCCCATGCTGGCCTACCGCCACGGCGGCGGGGCTCGCTGGAACCGGCCAGTGCTGGTCGCCTGGGCCTGCTCGCTCCTTCTCAGCCTGCCGCAGCTCTTCATCTTCGCTCAGCGCGACGTGGGGGACGGCAGTGGCGTCCTCGACTGCTGGGCCCGTTTTGCTGAGCCCTGGGGCCTCCGCGCCTACGTCACCTGGATTGCCCTGATGGTGTTCGTGGCCCCTGCCCTGGGCATTGCCGCCTGCCAGGTGCTCATCTTCCGGGAGATTCATGCCAGCCTGGTGCCAGGGCCGTCAGAGAGGGCTGGGGGGCGGCGCGGCAGGCACCGGCCGGGCGGCCCCAGTGAGGGAGCCCGGGTGTCGGCAGCCGTGGCCAAGACCGTGAGGATGACACTGGTGATTGTGATTGTGTATGTGCTGTGCTGGGCACCCTTCTTCCTCGTGCAGCTGTGGGCAGCGTGGGACCCAGAGGCGCCTCTGGAAGGTGGGTGCAGCCCTAGCCCGCACCCAGCAGGGGCCCTGCGCACAGCCAGCAGGCCCCTGAGCCGCCGACTCCTCCGCCTCCACAGGGCCCCCGTTCGTGCTGCTCATGCTGCTGGCCAGCCTCAACAGCTGCACCAACCCCTGGATCTATGCCTCCTTCAGCAGCAGCATCTCCTCGGAGCTCCGCAGCCTCTTGTGCTGCGGCAGCCGGAGGCGCGCCCCTCCCAGCCTGAGGCCCCAGGATGAGTCGTGCGCTACAGCCAGCTCCTCCCTGGCCAAGGACCTGGCCTTCTGAGGAGCCCGTGGGAGGCGGGGACCCAGTGGGATTGTGCCAGTGCCTGGGGTCCAGTCGCTGCCGCCTTGTGTGGCCCTGGGCAAGCCCAGGCCCTCTCTGGCCCAGGCTACACTGTTTGAGACCTTGGGCTCCAGGATTCTGAGGGGCCCGTCGGCCAGACCTCTGTGAGGGGCAGGACTGCAGGGCCTGGTGGCAGGCAGCACCCTAGTGAGCACCCCGTCGGGTAAGGCAGGGGGAGCCCAGGAGGAATGCAGGGTGGGCTGGGCACCTTCCTGTCTAATCTCCCCCTTCTCCCCGCCCCTCTCCCCCTAATAAAACTTCCAGCTCGTGTTCTCACACGGCGAGGGGCTCCTTGGAGCCGGGTAACAGTGCGTGTGGGGGCGGCGCAGAGAGACAGGCAGACTTCCCACCCCCCCAGACACATGCACAGCTCTGAAGCACACCACACGAGCAAGCCGGGGGGACCGCCAGGGCAGAACCTGCCGCCTCCACCACAGTGATGGGAGAGTCAGGTGGCTGGCCCATGCCCACCTGCCCAGCCCCCCAAAACAGAGAGCTGGCTGGCGTCGGAGAATCATCAGGTCTTTATGAATCACTGCCACCCGCATCAGGCACGTGCCACCCAAGACTCCCTGACGAGCTCCCTCCGTTACCCCAGGGTCTTAAGCCAGTGCTGGGGCAGGCAGGGGCGTGAGGTCAAGGAACCCTGTTTGGCCTCCTCTGCAAAGGGTCAAGGGCAGGTGCCCTGAGCTTGCTGGGCAGGGCCAGGGAGAAGCAGGGCCTGGGACCCTGGGGACAGGATGCTTAGGGGGAGGCCGGGGCCCCGGGGCCTCGGGGGAAGCTTTTATTCTTGCCGGGGCGGCTGGAGCTGGGGGAGCTGGGGGACACTGGCCCGTGACCCTGGCGGACGGCAGCCTTTCCCAAGAGCTCCTTAAACACGGAGTCCATGGTTTGTGCCACACTCTGGTGGGGCGAGAAGAAAGGGATGTGACAGCTGAGCACGCCCTCCCAGCGACCCCGCCCAAGCCTCCCCGCAAGCGCCTCCCCACTGCCACCAGGCGCCAGCTCTCCTCCTCCTCCCACGGGGCCCACCGCCAGCCCCTCCTCCCTGGGCCTCCATCGCCAGAACCTGGCCCTCCTCCCTCCCCTTTAGGGTCTCGGTCACAGCCTGGGGGGTGTGCAGCAGCTCCTCCAAAGGCCCTGAAGTGGGGTCCCTCTGGATGGGCCCTGGGCTCCCCTCTCCTCACGCCCACACTCTCCCTGGCTGAGGTCACACCCTCTCCCAGGCTTTAGACCCGGCCCCGCCCCTGCTCTCCCCTCTGCTCTAGCACCCCCTCCTCCTTCTGGCCTGGGCGGCCCAGCTCAGACCCCGGTGCCCGCTGTGACCCACCTGGGACATGCGCACGCTCTCATACTCCCCCTCACTCCCCCTCAGGCTCAGTGAGCATCCCTGCCCCCAGCTCACCTAAGCAGGGGGCCGGGCGCCCCCAGGTGGAGCCCAGCCCCTTTCCTCTCCCTTCAAGCGCCACCCCCCCCAACCCCACTCCCAGCCAGCCACCCCTCCAAACCTCTCTTCCATCTGTCCCTTTCATCTTCCTGGCCCCAACAGCCCCTGCCATGTCCCTGCCTGTCACCTAGCCTGGCTCCACTGATGCCAACCTTCAGTGTTCCTTCCCCATGCGTGGCCCTGTCACAGCCCCTCGTCCCTGCCCCCACACCCTGCCAGGCAGTGGCCTGAGCTGAGTCGGGGAGGGAAGGGACTGAGCTTGGCCCCTGAGGGAGCACGGAAGCCCGCGAGCTCTGGCCCAAGCTCTTACCTTGTCCACATCCATGAGTCTCTCTGGGGAGGCTGGGACGAGACAGTGCCGTCTGTGCCCAGAAGTGCCCCTGGTCTCAAGTGGGGCGCTCAGCCCTGGCCTGCAGGGCATGGGAAGTCAGCCTGGCTGGGTATCCCAGAAGTCCCCGAGCTGAGCTGACAGTGGCTCCTCCCACCCAGGCAGCCCCCGGGGAAGCCCCTCAGAGGCTCTCCCTGTCACCTTCCACAAGGCCCCCCCTCTACATGCCAGGGCCCACCCCCCGCCCGTCTGGCCTGGCCCAGTGCAGTGGGGCCCTCGCCTGTGCTCACCTGCTGGCGCACTCTGCTGGGAGGCCCTCCAGGCTGCTCTCCCCTGCCGCCTGCAGCCCCTGAGCCGCCAGATGCTTCTCTGCCCTGAGGATAGAGTGGTTTGTCTAGAGCCACGGTTCTCAGCCCCAGCCAGAACCAGTCAGAATGACCGACTGGATTGGACACCGTGGGAGGGGTGGGTGGGGAGCAGCAACTAGGGTGTTCACAAGGCCTGCACGAGGTGCTGCTATAGGCTCCAGGTCCAGAACCACTGGGGTCCAGTCCCCACTGGCCCCACCAGGCTGTGGGCCCTCTCAGGACGGCAGAGGGAGGCCAGCAGGGCCAGCGGGCAGCTCACTCACCCGGCAGCGGGCAGGGTGATATACTTGTGGGGGATGAGTCCGCACGTGCCGCCGAGCTCCCCCCACCACCAGTCATCCGAGGCTCGGGTGTGCAGCCGCAGGACTTCCCCTCGCTGGAAGGTCAGCTCCTGGGCTGTGCGGCCCATGTAGGCAAAGCAGGCCACAGCCTCCATGGCCCCCTCCACATCTGGGGAGAAGACAGAGCCTTGTGGGGGGAGGTGGAGAGGACGCCGGGCTGGGAATGGGGGCCCTCCTTCCTGTCCCCCTCACCATCCTCCTGGGCCCCGGCCTCCAGCTCTGGCTCATTCTCCCCCGCCATGCTGTCCAGCTGGGCATCCCTGCGGTCAGAAGCAGATTACAAGGCGGGTGAGGGGGACTCCCGGGCCACTGGGCGCCCCCTACCCAGTACAGCGGGCATACCCCAAGCAGCTGGCGGAGGGGGGTGCCATGCACTTCTCGTAGACAGGGCCTGGCAGCTCAGCCAGGGGAGGGAAGACGGACGTCGGCTTCATGATGAGTGTCTGCACCAGCCGGTTCACTCGGCCCTGCAAGGCCACGGGGTCCTGCCCAGCAGGCACAGGCAGCAGCGTCGGCCCGAAGCACACAGCCAGGTTGTAGGGATCCATCATGTTCTCGTCGCTGTACTGGGCCAGGCTGGAGGCCAGGAGGGTCACAGGCAGGAGCACCTGTCCAGGGGCCGAGCCGTCCCTGCCCCCGACCCACGCCAGCCCACGAGCCCCCGGGCCACCTCACCGCCCAGTACTCACTGGTTGAGGAAGGTGAAGAGGTAGCGCAGGACCACCAGCACTGGGCCCGGCAGCCGGGCCAGGAGGCGGCTCACAGACTCCAGCCTCTCCATCGCGTCCTCGGGCTCTGTGGTCAAGGCCGCCCCCCAGAGAGAGGCGCGCGTGTCAGCAGGCCGCTGTGGAGTGGCACCCCCGCCCCGCCCGACTCAGGCCCTGGCCTCACCGCTGGAAGCCAGAAGGTCGCCGAACAGGTCCGGGGGGAAGAGTGGGGGCTCCAGGCTCCGGAAGTAGAGCTTCAGCACTCCGGCCACCGAGTCCAGGTCCTGGACACCACAGCCTTCCACCAGCGCGTCCTCACCTGGGGACGGCACGCGGGGAGGGGGGAGGCAGCGGTGGCAGCAGCCCGGAGCCTGCTGGAGCCCGCCCCCACCCGGTGGCCACCCACCCTGCCGTCCCCACCTCTCTCAAAGGCGTCGCGGATCTCTGAGACCCGGGGCTGGGCGCCTGACACCCGGAAGATGCCTTCGTGCTGGAGGCCTGCAGAGAGAGCCAGGGACCGTGGGCCCAGGGGCTGGGTGCTGGGTGCCAGGGTGGAGGGCAAGGGGCCGAGCATGGCTTACCGTTGAGGTTAATGAACCGGATACAGCTCTCCACCACCAGGGGCACAGGCTGGCCGGAGCTCTGGGGGTAGAGAGGGCGTTTAGCTGGGTGGGCCTGCTCTGCCCCCCACACCCCCACGCCCGTTGCTTTTTGTTCGGGTTTTGATCTCTGAACCATGCAGCTGTGAACCTCACTCCGGGTGGGTGGCAGCTAGCTCTGACGCTATTTCGCAGAGCCTTACGCTGTATTTCCCAACCGCTTGCTGCCGGCAGGTAAAAATGCAGTCGAACTCTGGAAGTTGGCCTTGTGTCCAGTAACACGGCAAAATGCAAATTTGTGAATTTAAATACGCGGAAGATTCTTTTCAATGCTCTGTGCGCACAAGCAATCACTGCAAACGCTAGGTTTAGCTCCTCTTTTCCGGTCCCTCTTGCTTGTCTTATTTCACCGTCTAGGACCCCGTGTTGATTAGAAGCAGGGCTTGGGGGAGTCCCTAGGTTGTTGCCAGTCGGAGGCGAGAAGCTCAGGATACTACACTCCTCAGGCGCTGGCTGCTGAGGCTTTTTGTAGGGAATGCGGGACGTGGGTTCAGGCAGCCCATCAGGACACAGAGGTGACCCCAGGGACCCAGGGCTGGAGAAAGACCTGAACGTCCAGGGAGGGCCTAGACTCAGCTGGGGTGTGCGGCAAAGTGAGTACCTGGATAAACTTCTCCATGTCTCCCCCAAAGAGCTTCTGGCTGTACTGAGAGCTGGGGCGGGGCTGGCGGCTCCTCTGAACTTTTCTCTGCGAGTACTGGGTCCTGCGATGAAGGGAGCAGTGCGTGGCAGGGGTAGGGTGCCCCACCCTCCGGCCCAACCAAACAGCCTGCAGAGTTCTTCTAGAATTCACCGGGAGATTGAGAGCCCAGAGGACTGAGCAGCAGAGCTGGGCTGGGGGGAGGGGACAATGGGCCACGCTCTCCACGTTGCCCCTGAAGGATCCCTAAGAAGGCACCTTGTGCCCAACTCACCAGGACATCTCCCGCTCCTCTTTGTCACCTGGAAGGAGAAGACGTTGGTCTGCCTCTCGGGCACCCCAGAGAGAAAGGCATGGCCTGAAGGCTCAGGGCAATAGAAAAGCCAAGGGCAAGATCAAGGCCAGCACTTTGCTAGGCTATTTCCTACACGGGTCAACCAACTTCTCTGGACAGGCTGAAAGTACCACGGGCTGGGGCGGGCCCAGGCAGGAGAGGAGGGGCAGGAGGGGCAGGAGGGGCGAGCCCCCACGGGGCAGGAGCCAGGCCCACCTCGCTGGATGGCCTCCTGCAGTTGCTTGTGCTTGGCCTGCAGCTTGGCAAGGACGCTCCGGCCACTCAGATACTCCTGTAACTTCTGGAGAGGCCGAGATTCAGTCCGAGCTCTTGTCCCGCCCCTCCCTCGCCCCGGCCCAGCCTGGCCTCCCCACCCACCGTGATGTAGAAGGTCTCCGTCTCCTGCTGCTGTCCCCGCCTCCGGCCGGCCTGCCGGGCCCCTGGGTCCGAGCATGTGGACTTGAGGGACTCGGTGGAGGGACTGGCCTGGAGTGACTCAAGCACGTCCCCGTCATCTGATGCCACCAACTCCAGCAGGGCCTGCAGCGTCGCCTTCAGCGTCTTGTTCACCTGGGAAGGGGATAGCACAAGGGCAGGAAGCAAGGGGAGACGAGGTGGGGGACGAGGAAGTCCAAGTCAGAGGAAACTGGGAGGCCACTGACACCAGGGAGGGAGGCAGGCAGGGAGGAGTTCCCAGGGAGGGCCAGTGTAGGGGCTCCAGGCACGAGGGGACTGGGGCTCTGACTCTCCGGACCCCTGCCGCCCCTCAGGCCTGGCCCCTATACCTCTTCTGTCTCAATGGTCTGCCGGCCTAGGCGGCTCTGGATATTCTGGGCTCTGGGCATAATCTCATCCCGCAGCTCCATCTCAACCTGGATCTCGGCCACCTGTGGAGGGCATTGGCCACGACAGAGCGCTCAGACACGGAGTGGGGTGGGCATGAGGGAACACAACACGTCCCTGCAGCCTTGGTGGCCGACGGGCAGGACCACCAGCCCCCGACACATAATGAAAATGGTTCTGAAGCATGGTAGGGTACAAACTGAAGAGACTTGAAAGCGGGGACTCCCAACAGCTACGTGCACACCAACCAGTGTTCATCAGAGCACTACCCCACAATAGCCCAAGAGTGGAAACAAGTCCAGTGTCCATCAACAGATGATGGATAAACATAATGTGGTCCATCCAGACAATGGAGTATTACTCAGCCATAGAGAAATGGAATTCTGATATACGCTACCACATGCAGGAACCTCAAAAACATTATGCTAAGTAAGCGCCGAGCATTATGCTCTTTTAAGAACTATCTATATGGGATCAAATTGTCAACGGCAACTCGAAAGACTAGGGGGCAGCAAATTTACGTGAATGAGGGAGAAACAACTCAAACAAGGAGGGTGAGAATGGTTGCACTGAAAATAGAACTATCAAACGTCCCGGCCATTCCACTCCTAGGTATATACCCCAAAGACTTGAAAGCAGAGACTCAAACAGAGACTTGTGCACCAATGTTCACTGCAGCACTATTCACAGTAGCCAAAAGGGGGAAACCACCTCAACGCCCATCCACAGACGAGTGGATAAACAAGATGTGCTTCATATATACACAGAATACTACTCAGCCAGTAGGAGAAATGAAGTCTTGATACATGCTACAGCATGGATGGAGCTTGGAGACATTATACTGAGTGAAATAAGCCAGTCACAAAAGGACAAATATTGTATGACCTCACTTACATAAAAAGACAAGAAAAGGCAAATGTAAGGAGACCAGTGGTTACCAGTGGTTACCAGTGGTGGGAGGAAGAGGGAAAAGGAGAGTTAACGGTGATGGAAAAATCGCATTGACTAAGGGTAGGGTTGCACAGCCCATTATTGTTAATTGCTGTCAGTAAGTTCTACACCTGTAAAAAGTTGAATTGGCAAAAGTTGTATGACAGATGTATTTACAACAACACACACACACACACAAAAAAAAGTAGTTGCTGAGGCTACTCATGTACAACCAAACACCTCATGGGATTTGGTTCCTCGGTTTGGAGGTTAAGGTCATGCATTCATGGGACATCTCAGTTAATTGACCTAATAACGTGTTTAGTGCTTCTGTTCTACCTCCTAGTTTGTTGCGTAGTGCCTGGGGTCTTAAAACCTTGTAAGCAGCCATCCAAGGCACAACAATTGGTCTCTATTCAACTGGAGCAACAGAGGAAGAAGGAGCATCAGGAATAGGAGGAGGATATGGAATGTGTGGCTAACTGCCTCCAGGAACAACTGCCTCCTTTGCCATGAGACCAGAAGAACTAGATAGTGCCCAGCTACCATTACTGAACATTTTGAACAAAGATTCCATAGCAAAATCCTGATCAAAAGGGGGAAAACACAGAACAGAATTTGAAATTCTTATGGATTCTAGACTTTCTGGAGCCATGGAGGGTAGACGAACCCCTGAAACTATTGCTCTGAGACAATCTTTTACACCAGAAATAACCCCTGAAGTCATCTTAAACCAAACAGTTTAGCTTAAGTAGCAAAAAATGTCTGCCTTGAACATTCTGCTCTTTTAAGAACTAAATGGGCTCAAATTGACAACAACTCAAAAGAATAGATAGGAACCTTAGGGGGCAGTAAATTTACGTTAATAAGGGAGAAACAGCTCAGACAAGGAGGGTGAGAATGGTTGCACAACTTGAAGAATGTAATCAATGTCACCAAATTGTACACAAAGAAACTGGTGAATTGGTGTATGTTTTGCTGTGTATACTCTCAACAACAACAACAAAATAAATAAAATTTGGGGGAAAAAAACAGGGAGGGGAGTCAAGTGAGGGTGAGGGCACTGCCTCACTGGGCCTCGGGGCAGGCTACCCGAGACGTCACCTCTCCCTGAGCCCCTTTCTTCCCCGATTCAGACTGGTGAAGGCACCTCTGATGCCCTCGCCCTGTCTGCCTGTGGGGTCTCTCCGCACACTTCACATCCCAGTTTCAACTGGCCATCTTTGCTCTTGATGGTGCCCCTTCGCTGGCCGTGGGCCACACAGTGTGGGAAGGAGTAGGAGCAAGGGATGAGTTTGGGGTGTGTGTGTGTGTGTGTGTATAGCCAGCTGGGACGATCAGCTGGCCTTGGTGTTCCCCTGTTGAACAGAAATAGTGTCACAGAGCCTCAGCATCAGACAAGGCCACTCTCTGGCCGTGGTGGGAACAAAACAAGAACATAAACGACCAAACGTCCTGCTGTGCCAGCTGATGTGAGTGACAGCTGCTGCTTTGCCAGTCACAGTGTTAGCCTCACTTCAGTCGTTCCACCTTCTAGATAAAATGTATTATGGACCCAATCACAGAATGGCCCCCGCTTCCTCACTGCCTGACATCCAGAGCAAAGCCCTGCTTCTTGAATCCCAAATCCCCTAACACCAGTCCAAATCCTCTAAGTCCTTTCTAACCCCTTTTACTGAAATGTCCCACGGCAACCCATGGTGTTCCATCTCCCAACTTGTTCGGTTACAGGTGTGTTCCTGGTGGTCTGCGGTTGGGGGGCACTGAACTAAAACCAGATTAAATGAAAAACTGTTTCTCCAAGTCCTCTCACCCCACTCTACTCCCCCAAATTGGCAGCCAGACCCCCAGCAGAGGATTAGAAGAATTCTCTCCAGGGAAATTGGCAAGATCAAGAGGAAAGACTTTACAGAGACCAACATTTGGGGTCTCCCAACCAAAGAGCTGAGTCTCTGCCCGGTTACCCTGCAGGGGTGACAAGCTCTGCTCAAGGACACTATGAACTAACAGCCAAGAATCACCAGACATTTGGGGAAAGTTTTAAAATGAAAGACGGAGGCCAAAGCAAGCTTTAAAAAAAGCTGCAAGAAAACAGAAAATATAGGGAGTAGAGGGAAATGTCGAGAAAACAAAAATTAAACATTTCAAGAATATTGGAAAAGATACGGCATCCAGAAAATAAGAACAAAGGGTTACTTTACAACAGGAATTCAAGGAACAAAACAGAACTAAAAATGAAAACATGAAAGTAAAAAACGAATTTTTAATTAAACAAGGGACTGGAAGATACAGTTGAAAGCTCTAAGAAAGTAGAATAAAAGGCATAGAACTGGGAAATAGGAAAGAGAAAAAAAATTAGAGATTCAACCCATGGGCTTCACCATCCAAATAAGAAAAAGTACTGAAAGAGAGAGAAAAGAAAATTATCAAAGGAATAATACAAGAAAATCGCCCCAAAACTTAAGGACAGAACTTCCCAGATGGACAGAGCCCACTGGTTGCCCAACGCTGAGAAGGAAAAAGGATTCTCAAGGCATACCATCACAAAATTTTACAACAAAGGGAGAAAGAGACTATCCTAAAAGCCTCTAGGTCGCATACAAAGGTTCAGAATTCAGAATGGCATCGGACTTCTCACCAATAATACTAAAAGTTGAAGATAATGGAGAGACGCCTTTAACATTCTAAAATGATTTTCAGCCTTGAATTCTATACCCAGCCAAACGACTATCAATTGCAGTAACAGAATACAGGCATTTTTAGACATGCAAGGTCAGGAAACTATTGTCCACCAAAACGAGGGTGATAAACCAAGAAAGAGGAAGAAGACATGGAATCCAGGAAACAGAGGATCCAAAGCAGGAGAGAACAGCAGGGATTTCTCAGGATGGTGGGGAAGGGAAGCTCCCGGATGCCATCTGTGCAGACTGGAGGGCCCCAGGGGGAGGACTCCAGGAAGAAGTAGGAGTTCACAGATTGCCTGGTATGGCTGTCACCAGTCTGTCCCGGAGTGTGGACATGAGTTAGTGATAAATACATGGAAAGCTAAGCAGCATTTCTAAGGTGAGCAAATTAATAATTCCAGAAAAAAAGGAAAAATTGGCCAAGGAAGGAAAAGGAATAGAGCATTTGGCTCAGCTGTGAACAGTATTTGTAGTCATCATAATTTAAACACTGAATGTTTCGTCAAAAATTCTGGGCTAGAAGGCAGAAGGGGAGTAGGAAGCTGATGATAGGGAACACAAAGTAGAGTAAGGATATTGTTGATGTGTTGTGAGATTGTTAACCATTGTCATAGGGCAACATTTGTAGTAACTGTTAAAGGGGAGACTATTTTGTCCTGTAAGCCTTCATCTTAAGTGAGAATAACAGCACAATTAGAAGAGCGTAGTCAATGTCATTTAAATGCGTATGTAAAAAAATTTTTGAAATGGCGTATCTTTGGCTGTGTGTATTTTCACTAAAAAAAAAAAAAAGTTGAGAATTTAGAGGGTTAAAATGTTGTGGGGTTGTTAACCAATGTCATAAAACAGCATGTGTGTTACTGTTACATGAGAAACTATCTGTTCTGTAAGCCTTCACCTGAAGTACAATAAAATATTTAAAAAAAAAATTCTGGGCTAATTAAACGGGCAGAAGAGGAACGCGGGTGTGGTTGGACGTGGGAGATGGAGACAGGGCTGAGTCCCGAGCTGCCATGGAAGGGAGTCGGCAGAGCACAGCTACAGGTGAGAGTCAAAGAGCAGCCGACGTGTATGACGTGAACACATGGAGGGAGATGCTAGAAGCGGCAGCTAAAAAAGAGGAAAGGGGCTGGCTGTTCCTGGGCGGTGGATCGCGTTTGCCTTTTTAAACCATGTGTGTGCTTTTAAGCTATTACGTTGCTCAAAATACAAACTAAATCAATAAAAGTTCAGGTCAGCTCCAAAGGTGCCCCCTGTAATCCCAGGCCATGTGTGACGCCTGTTCAGTAAAGTGTTGACAGAAGACAGCAACTCGGGCGACAAGTGTCTCACCGTGTGTATGGCTGATCCCCGCCCCGCGTTTCCTCATGAAAAATTAAGAACCATACAGAAAAGGTGAAAGAACAGACATGAACACCCATCTACCCAACACCTCCCGTTAGCACTGTTCCCATTTCGCTGGATTTGCCTCTGCGCGCGCGCGCGTGCTGGCGGAGCCATCGGGACATAAAGCTGCTTTAAATGCAGGTGCTGGTTTTCCTGGTTATTCTTGCCCGATGGTTGCAACACTTTCTCCTCGTCTCTCCAAAGAGATTAGGAATCTTTTTTTATTATTATCCTGAAGTTTTCTTTTCCCTGCGTAGCCTGTTCCTGTTCCTTAAACCAGTAAAACCAGCTGCCGTCATGTTGACTCCACAGGGTTTTCCATAGCTGATTTTTTGGAATCAGATTGCCAGGCCTTTCTTCCATGGTGCCTCTGGGTGGACTTGAACAGCTAGCCTTCCGGTTAGCAGCCAAGCACATTAACTATTTGCACCCCCCAGGGACTCCTTCTGTTCCTGAGCCAAGTGGGAAGCATTCCCCTCCTCCAACAATTACGAGGAAGATCAGAGGATGCAAAATCCTCAGGCACACAGCCCCGGTGAGGCTTGGGCGTTAACGGACTGGGAGGGCCTCACCTCATCCCCCTCGTGGGGCTGGTAGTCAAAACGCAGCGGGGGACAGAAGGCAGCTGCATGCAACTCAAGCACCTTGGCCTTGTCCCCTGGAGGATCCAGGGCCTCCAGAGCCTCTTCCAGGCTGCCCAGGCCCTGCATCTGGGAGGCCTGGGTGCGGCTCTCGGCAGCAGTGTAGCTCCGGAACACCTGGCCCAGGGCCAGGTGGAACCCTGTGTCACAGCACTGGGGGAGGAAGGAACGAGATGTCTTGGGTGGGCCCTGGAGGCGTGGCCTCCGGACTCCGGCCCACTGGGTCCCTGGCGCCCCCACCCCCAGGACTCACGTCCATGAGGTCTGGCACATCCTGCAAGTAGTAGTTCCTGATGGCGGCATTCACGCTGGCCAGGCTGAGCAGGTACTCGTTCCTCGCCTTCGTGCACTTGAGATCGTGCTCCAGGAACTTGGCCTGGCGCTGTTCAGACAACCCAGCCCATCCAGGGTCACCCTCTCCACTCACCCTCCCCTCCTCACACTCGCTTCCCTCGGGCTGCCAGTGCTCAGCGGCACCCTGGGAGCCAGCCTGATGGCGCCATCCGCAGACCCGTCCCTTGCCGTGGTCTGGGCCTCATCGTTCCTGTCACTCCTCAGAAATGACTAGAGCGATCCAGCGGGGGGCAGGCACAGAACTAGACACCTGATCGATGAATCACACTCCCACTCACACCACACACCCACGCCCCCCAGTGGAGGTGTGGGCTAGGTACTGGGGAACCTAGAGGACCGTCCGAGAAACTTGGCTTGGACGCAACCGGGAAACCTCACAGCAGAGAAAACAAGCTGACCACTTCCCAGGTGGAAGGACCGGAAGGGCCAGCCCAGGCAGGGACAACAGCTACACAAAGGTGACTAGAGGTGGAACAAGTGGCCGAGGGGACGGGACGGGTCGTCAGGGGCCTGCTGGCGCCTGGGGTCAAAAGGCTGGAAGGCTCTGTAATGGCAGTAGCTGGGGGACCTTCCTAAAATACAACCTGTCACCCCTCAGAACACTTGATGACATCCAGCTCCCTCTTCTGCTCTCTGGCCTCCGCCACGCTAGACCATCACCCCCGGCCCCTGCCCACCTTGGTGCCTCAACCTCCCCATCCTTTCTTCAGGAGCCTCCTCACACACTCCTTCTTGCACGTCACCCGCTCACCCACCCTGCAGCTCTCCTCGCCGCTCTGAAAGCCCACGGTGCTGCGTGAGGCGGGAGGGGTGGGTGGAAAGGGCCCCGGACTCTCATCACCACAGGGCTCGGGGCTGCGAGGGCACCATTCCTGCACTCCTTCTCCCTTGGGCTCTCCGGGCCTACCGAGCCTGCTTTAGTTAACTGCCGTGGCCCCATGGCACCCACCATCCCCAGGTTGCAGAACCTTCCAGAGCCAGCAGGGCAGACCAGACCAAGTCGCTCCCCTTACCGTGGGAACCTGTGGGCAGCCTGTCTGATGATCTGCGGCTGTCTGCCCCTAGCCCTGCCTTCTCCCACTTCACATACAGCATACGGCAGGCCCAGTGAGGGCCAGGGACAAACGCCAGGCCCCAGAGCCTTTGGAGACAGACAGGCAGCAGACACACGGGAGCAGGCAGGCCAAGTCCAAGGCAAGCTCCAGGCCCACCTTCTCCACCAGCCGACCTTTCTTGATGGAGCTCTTCCTGGAGGGCCCCGCCTCAGTGGTGGTGGTGGCGGTGGCGGCGGCGGCGGCGGCGCTCCGGCCAGCTCGCTTCTCCTCCTGGCGCTCAGCTTCCCGGAGCTTGGTCTCAGCATTCACGCTTTCCGTGCGGTACACCTGGTATGTCTTCCTGGCCTGTAAGGAGGGCCAAGGCAGGGCAGCCGCTGCTGAAGGCCACAGCCGTGGCCAGCCCCTCCCACTCCCCCTCCTGGCCTGTCTGGGACTCTGACCAGCACCAGAACCAGGACCAGAGGCCCAGGGAGAGGAGGTGCCTTGCCCGAGGTCTCCCCTGGATGTGGGCACCCAATTCTCCTTGGGCCTGGCCTGGGGCCATGTGAAGGCTTGGGGGTCCCTGCCCGGTCCTCACCGTCTGAAGCTCGGAGACCACCTTCAGAAGCTCCTCCTGCAGCTGCTGCTCCAGGTCCTTACTCTAGAGGTAGGGGTGGGCAGGAGGAAGACGTGCGACCACGGTCCCGCCCCGTGGGACAGCCCACCACTCCTCAGCTCGGCAGTCGAGGCTCCACCCGCTCGAGCCCCTCTGCCTGATGCCCACGTGGCTGCCCAGGCCCTCCAGCCCCCAGACGGAGCACCCTCAGGCTGCTCTCGCAAGGTGCTGAGCCGTCTGCACCTCCTGTGGATCAGGGCGAGAACCCTACCTTCCTGACTATGCGCCCCACGTACTCCGAGAGGTGGGTCAGGCGCTGGACCAGGGATCCGGTCAGCACCTCGCTGAGGGCCGCGCTCTCCCGGCTCTGCTGCCGCGTCTGCTGCAGCAACACGGCCCAGCAATGCAAGGGCGACAGGAGGGACGGCTCCTTCCTGGGGGGCAGAGGGGCACTCAGACCTGGGCCCGGCTGGCCCCGGCGCAGCCAGCCTGCCAACACAGCACCTACCGGAAGCTTTGGTGCTCGCGACTGCCGCTGCCCAGGCGGCCTCCTCTGCTGGAAAAGCGCTCGGCCAGCTTGTCCAGGCCCCGAGAGTACTCCAGCTCCACCTCGGCGCGGCGCCGCATGAACTCGGCCAGCTCCTGCAGCAGCTCCCGCCGCAGGTCGCCCTGCAGCTCCAGGCAGCGCAGCTGCTCACTCAGCTGCCAGCGTATCTCTGTGGGGGGACGGGGGCTCAGCGGAGGCAGAGGCCCCAGGCCCCCACTGCCATCTGCCTCAAGGGCTCCTGGGGGCCCAGACTCTGCTGTCAGGAAGAGTTTTGGGCGCCAATGTCCAGCTGGGCCAGGAAACGCTCTGGGGGCAGCAACTCTGGGCTCCTGAGGCTGAAGGGAAATGGTTAAAGAGGACGGGGAAGGGCGTCCCAGGGTGAAGGAAGGGCCAGTGCAAAGGCCGAGGGGGGCGGGGGACCCATGTGGGCAACACAAGCCCCCATCCCCATCTTCCCCATTGCTAGCCAGCGTCCCTCTCTTTGATTTCCCGTCTCCTTGGTCCCTGGAAAGCCCCAGCCTTCGTCCCCTGCCACTTCCTTCCCCTTTGGTGTCTAGGCCAGGCGGCGAGGGCAGTAGCTGGCAAGCTAATGGGGCTGACAAGGGGCCCACTCCCCATCCCCCACCCACGCACCTCCCACGAGAGCCCGCTCTGGGTCCCGCCACTGGCGTTTTGGTTTGGCAACCCTGCTTCCCCACACAGACCTAAAGCGTGGAGGCCAGAAAGCTGCCTGTTTGAGGCGCGTGAGCACCCCGTGAAAACCCTCTCACGTCCACTGGTCGGATCGCACCCCCGGCAGGCACTGGGGGCTGCTGGGCCCAGAAGACCCTGCCCACCTGCTAATCTTTGTCCACTTCCCCAGGGACAGAATGTCGATTCCATATCCGCTCCTGGCCAAGCCCCTGCTCTCCTGGAGCTGGGCTGGGAATGGGGGAGACAGACAGCAAGTGAATGTGGGGGCAGGGGCGCTAAGGGAATGAGCAAAGCAAGGTGCATTCAGAACGGAAGTGGCTCCAGAATGGCCTCTCTGAACAGTGACATTTGAGCAGAGAGCTGAAGGAAGTGGCAGAGAGAGCCGTGGGGACCGCTGCGGAGGCCAGCGTGGCTAGATCGGGCAGTTGAAGAGGCCGTGGGGGCAGATGGCATAGCGCCTGTGGCCGGGGAGGACTCGGGCTGGACTCCAGGTGACAGGGGAGCCAAAGCCCAGAGCCCTGTGACTTGGCTTCGCTTTTAGAGGGTCCCTCAGGCTGCTGCGTGCAGCACCCAGCCCAGTTAGCAGCTACTGCAGGAGACCAGGGAGCTGGCCTGGGAAGTGGCAGGGTTCAAGATGGCAGTTGGAAAGAACTCTGCTATGAACAGCTCTGTAGTGGTTTGATTTTTTCCTGCCAGTGACTCCTCAGGGTCGCAGGGCATGGGGCGGCCCTGTGGGTTTACCGGCCCAGGATCCAGTGTCTCCCTCTGATTTCCCTTTGGAGAATTTCCCCTCCCTATCCTCAGCCCACGGGGTTGAGGGCAGTTGGCCTCTCTCCCTGACTCCATGCACCTCAGACCTGGCCTCCAGCCTAACCCCCATCTGCCCCAGGGACTGGCTCCCAGAGCCGCAATGCTAACCCTCCTCCTGGAACCACTGGGAAAGAAGCTCAAGCTGGGTAAATGGGGTGGGGGGGGACTTCCTGCCAGTGAGCATGAAGGAAAGCGCCCTCCTCAGGCCAGCGGGGGCGAGGCTTGAGCTGGGGATTTATCAGTTCCCTGAGCCAGTTGGAATGGGCTTCATGTCACTTGAAACCAGAAGAATCTTACTGGAATCAGGGTAACATTTTTGGATAAAAGTAAATTTCGTTTCGTTCCAAGAATGGTCTGAGAAGGGCCCTGCCCACCTGGACATGACCCCTTGCCCTCACCGGAGGCATATGCTCCCTGGGGACCCATTACAGCGAACAGCGCTGAACGGACTGGCAGACAAAACAATTAGTTTATGCTTTGGTACCAGCAGCTAAAGGCTACCTTAAGGCAGGGCTTCCAACTGGTTTGTTTCGGTTCAAACCCCTGCTGAGAATTTGCACTTCCACCCCAGATATACTGAATCAGGATCTACACTTTAACAAGATCCCCAGGTGATTCTTATGTATAATAAATTTTGAGACTCACTGCTCTATGGGTGGTTGCCAGCATTGGTCCCTAACCAGCAGTATTAGCGTCGCCTGGGAACTAGTTAGAGATGCAAAGTCTCCTTTTGTGATTGACTTATCTCACTCAGCATAATGCCCTCTAAATCACCTACTGTTGATGGGCACTTAGGTGGTTTCCATCTTTTTGCTATTATGAACAATGCTGCCATGAACATGGGTGTGCATACGTCTATTCGAGTGACGACTCTTATTTCTCTAGGGCGTATTCCTAGGAGTGGGATTGCTGGGTCATATGGTATTTCTAGTTCGAGTTTTTTAGGAAGCACCTTACCATTTTCCATAGTGGCTGTACCATTTGACATTCCCACCAGCAGTGCATAAGAGTTCCAGTCTCCCCACAACCTCTCCAGCATTTGTGATTTTCTGGGTTTTTTTCCTTATCTCTTTATTCCTGTCAGTAATGTTGGTGTAGGATGGTATCTCATTGTAGTTTTGATTTGCATCTCGGTGGTGCAGTGGTTGAGAGCTACGGCTGCTAACCAAAAGGTCAGCAGTTTGAATCCATCAGCAGCTCCTTGGAAACCCTATGGGGCAGTTTTACTCTGTCCTATAGGGTCGCTATGAGTCGGAATCGACTCCACGGCAACGGGTTTGTTTTTCAGGGGGGTGGATAATGGCTAATGATCGTGAGCATTTCCTCATGTGTTTGTCAGCCGTCTCAGTGTCCTCTTTGATGAAGTGTCCGTTCATGTCCTTTGCCCATTTTTTAATTGGACTGTTTGTCTTTTTGTTACTGAGGTGTTGAAGTCGTCTATAGATTTTAGAGATTAGACCCTTGTCAGATATGTCGTAGCCAAAAACTTTTTCCCAGTCTGTAGGTTCTCTTTCTACTCTTTTGAAGAAATCTTTCAGCAGTTCAAATCTACCAGCCGCTCCTTGGAACCCTTCTGGGGCACTTCGTTCTACTCTGTCCTTTAGGGTCGCTATGAGTCAGAATCAACTCGACGGCAATTGTTTGTTTTGATAAGCGTAAGTGTTTAATGTTTAGGAGGCCCCGTTTATCGAACTCATCTGCTGCTGTTTGTGCATTTTTTGTTACGTCTGGTATTCTCTCTCTGCCATGTATTAGGGCCCCTAGCGTTGATGTTTTTCTTCCACTATCTTTAGAGTTTTAGGTTTTATAGTTAGGTCTTTGACCCATTTTTAAGTTAGTTATGGGGTCCTGGTCCATTGTTTGAAAACATGGACATCCAGTTTTGCCAGCACCATTTGTCATAAAGACTGTATTTTCCCCATTTAATGGACTTCGGCCCTTTGTCGAGGACCAGTTGTCCGTAGGTGGCTGCATGCCTGGGTTCTCAATTCTGTTCCATTGGCCCATGTGTCTGTCGTTGTACTAGTACCAGGCTGTTTGACTATCGTGGCTGTACAGTAGGTTTTGAGGTCAGGTAGTACGAATCCTTCGACTCTGTTCTTCTTCTTCAATAATGTTTTGTCTATCTGAGGCCCCTTTCCTTTCCATATAAAGTTGGTTATTAGTTTTTCCATCTCGTTAAAGAACGATGTTGGGATTTGGATCAGGATTGCGTTATATCTGTAGAGCACTTTGGGTAGTATTGACGTCTTCACGATGTTCAGTTTTCCTATCCGTAAGCATAGTGTGTTTTTCCCTTTATGTAGGTGTCTTGTAGTAATGTTTTGTAATTTTCATTGTATAGGTCTTTCACATCCCTGGTTAGATTTATTCCTAAGTACTTTATCTTTTGGGGGCCTATTATAAACGGTTCCGTTGCTAAAGGTTTTCACTGGCTGATTTTTTTCAGAAGTAGACCGCCAGGTCCTTCTTCCTAGTCTGTCTTACTCTGGAAGCTCAGCTGAAACCTGTCCACCATGGGTGACCCTGCTGGTATTTGAATACTGGTGGCATAGCTTCCAGCATCCCAGCAACATGCAAGCCCCCACAGTACGACAAACTAACAGATACGTCTCACATCCTTTGGACGTGTCATCAGGAGGGACCAGTCCCTGGAAAAGGGCATCATGCTTGGTAAAGTGGAGGGTCAGCGAAAAAGAGGAAGACCCTCAATGAGATGGATTGACACAGTGGCTGCAACACTGGGCTCAAGCATAACAACGATTGTGAGGATGGCGCAGGACCGGGCAGTGTCTCGTTCTATTGTACATAGGGTGGCTATGAGTCGGAACTGACTCAATGGCACCTAACAACAACATTGCAAATGGTGTTGTTTTCCTTTTTGAAGTTCTCTTTCTTGATATAGAGGAATCCAACTGATTTTTGTACATTGATCTCATATCCTGCTATTTTGCCGAATCCTTCTATTAGTTCCAGCAGCTTTCTTGTGGAATCGTTGGGGTTTTCTATATATAGGATCATATCATCTGTGAATAGGGATAGTTTTACTTCTTCCTTACCAGTTTGGATGCCTTTATTTCCTTTCCTTGCCTTACTGCTCCAGCTAGGACTTCCAATACAATGTTGAATAAGAGTGGTGATAAAGGGCATCCTTGTCTGGTTCCCGTTCTCAAGGGGAATGCTTTCAGACTCCATCTACGATGATGTTCGTTGTTGGTTTTGTATAAATGCCCTTTATTATGTTGAGGAAATTCTCTTCTATTCCTATTTTGCTGAGAATTTTTATCAGGAACGGGTGTTGGACTTATAAAGAAACAAGAAAAGCTCTACACACAGGAAAAAAAAATTCTTTGATGGTTACCAGGGATGGGAGGGGGAAAGAAGGAAAACTACCAAATAGATATGACACATGTTAATGTTGGTGAAGGGAAAGGCAATACACTATATGGGGGAAGTCAGCAAAACAGGACTAGGGCATGGGAGGACACTGAGAGGAACGCAAGAAAAAAGGGCAACAACGCCAATTACTACAGCATAGACAATCCTGCAGCGATAGCATTAACAAACACTAATTTACGAATGGATGCATAGGCAGATAGGTACGCCAAGAGGTGTGGGAGGGTGTAAGGGAGCACACCCACCTGCAGATATAGGTTTGGTGGTGGGTATTTCTACATACATAACTGCAGGTGCTGCTTCTATAGTAATATAGACAATAGAGCACACACAAGGGCCATAGTCAGGGCAACTTCTTAGACATAACCAAACACCTCACGGGATGAAGTTCCTAGGCTTGAAGGCCAAGGATCATAGACTTTGGGGTCATCTAGCTCAACTGGCACAACACAGTTCATAAAGAGAAAGTTCTGCATCCTACTTTGATGAGTAACATCTGGGGTCTTAAAAGCTTGCGAATAGCCATCTAAGGTACATTTACTGGTCTCTTCCCGTCCCGAGCAAAGGAGAGTGAAGAAGACCAAAGACTCAAGGGAGCAATTAGTCCAAAGGACTAATGGACCACATGAACCACAGCCTCCGCAACCCTGAGACCAGAAGAACTACATGGTACCCAGCTACCACTACCAACCGCTCTGACTGGGATCACAACAGAAGGTGCCAGACAGAGTGGGAGAAAAATTGGAGAACAAAAAATCAAAGTCACAAAGAAGACCAGACTTACTGGTCTGACAGAGACTGGAGGAACCCCTGAGATTATCGCCCTAAGACACCCTTCTGACCTGGAACTGAAGCCATTCCTGGCGACCACCTTTCGGGCAAACCACAGACAGGCCCGTAAAATAAACAATAACACCTGAGAGGAAACTCCTTAGAACAGTCAATTATACAAGATCAAAAGGGAGACATTTGCCCAAAGGCAAAGATGAGAAGGCAGGAAGGTACAGAAAATCAGGACGAAAGGAAACGGGGAAGCTCGGGTGGAAACGGGGAGGGGGCTGACACACTGTGGGGAATGAAATCAATGTTATGGAACACTTTATGTACAAATTATCGAATGGGACACCAATTGGCTCTGTAAACTTTCACCTAATGCACAATAAAAAAAAATTTTTTTTAAAGAAATGCAAATTCTCAGCTGCGGTTCGAACCTAAAGGAACCGGTGGGAAGCCCTGCCTTAAGCCGGGCCGCCTTCTGGTTCAAACATGCGCACTGCCTGGTGTCAATTAGGAGCGGGGCTTGTGAATTACAGCCCGGCTCTGAGATGCACCCCTGCGCCCCTATTGGCAGCCAGCGAGCCAGCGCCCCTAGCAGAGCCGCTGTGGAGCCGTTAGTCCGAAACTGGCTCTCAGAACTCAGCCCAGACACAAATGCAGCAGGCAACCTTCCCGGCCCTCCCCCCAGCTGAGGTCTGGCCCTCTTCCCACCCCCTTGTTGACACCCTGCGCTTTCCCTCGGTAGCGGTTACTGTCATCGTGGGCTGTTTACTCTGTCTCCCCACCAGACTAGAGCCGTCAGAGGGCAGGGACTGGTTCTCCCCTGTCACCAGTGGTCTCAGGGCCTGGGACAGGAGAGATGGATACAAAACATTTGTCAAATGGAAGGATGGGACGCACATACGCTCGAATTCATAGCTGGGACTCGGGCCCCACGGGCACTTCCTGTGAGCGAGGCACAACGGTCTCACTTCTGCAGAAAAGAAGATGGCCGTACTTTCGGAGGCGGACCTTTTGGAGGTGGGCCATCAGGACAATGACCCTGTGCTTCTAGCATGGTAGGAAGTTGGGTTTTTTGGTTGGCTGGTTTGTTTTGGTTTTTTTGAGTGGGGGATGAGGAACGGAGGCTAAAATCGTTGACAATCCAGAGCAGGCAAGCAACGTCTTAAAGGCTGTCTTCTTCAACTCTAGTATCCTACTTATGTATCCCTCCCTCGTGACAGTTCTGGGAAGCAGGATGGAATCAGTATCTTCATCTGAGCAGTGACGACAGTGAGGCTTGGGAGCTGGCATGTCCTGGAGAAAGTCACCTCTGGCATATTCGTGTGTAAATGACTCGCACTGAATAATTACAACAGAACCTACACCTCTGGGTTGGAAGGACCTTCAAGCGTCATTTCATCCTACCTTGGCAAGGCTGTATCATGGGGAAAAGAGCCCTGGACTCAAAGTAAACCAGCTGTGTGACCACGGGAAGTCACTGCACCTCTCTGAGCTTCAGTTTCTGTAATTGGCAGAACAGAAACCAAGAGTGCCCGCCTCCCAGGGTCGTGGCAAGAGCGATATGGGGTCACACATCTGAAGGCACCGGGGAACTGCTGGCGCTAGGTACCACCTTCTTTCCTTTGAAAGAGTTACCACGCCCTGAGTAAGGCCAGCAGAAGCTGCCGACTAGGAATTTTTCAAGCTGATTTGCCTGCGATTTGCATGGGAGTGTCTATCCGCACCTAGAGGTCTAAGGTCAGAAGGCTGCAAAGTGGGCCCTGTTGACTCTCTCCCAAGAGTCACTCAGCCGGCCTGATCCAGCCACAGAGGCCCTCATGTCTGAGCCACCCCAGTGCTAAAGGGAGGGAAAGGTGTGGCCCGGGACTGGAGTCGGGCTGGTTTTAGGGCACAGCGATCACCAAACCAAACTGCGTGTACCTTACTCCCTCACCGCCCCCACCCCACCAAGGTCAAGGTGGCCGCTTTCACCGTGGCTGGTATCCCCCACTTCCTGAGTGGCACCTAGGAACACCTGTCCCGCCTTCCCTCGGGCCGCCAGGATCTCCGCTGCTCCTCCGTTAGGTTCAGAGAGAACCCGAGGAGAGCAGAGAGACCAGAGAACGGAAGGAAGGAAGAGGGGACAGTGGGCAGTCCCCCCTTCAGGGATCTAAGGGGACCTCCAGCCAAATGGGGGCAGAGAGGCCAGCAGGAGCTGGGGCTCCCTCTCCCGCCCCCCTCCAGAGATCGCAGGGCCGAGGGCTGCGGGACTTTCCCGGCCCCGCGCCAGCCGGGCCAGCAGCTGGGGGCCTCCCCGGGGGCTAGGGCGCCCCCACGACCTCAGGGCCTCCGCGGGGAAGGGCCGGCAGTGCCTGGCGCCCTCTCACCTTTGACTTGCGTCTCATACTCAGCCTGCGGCGCCCGCTCCCTGCGCAGCTTTCCGTGCGCGGCCATGGCCGCGCCGTCGAGCCCCGCTGCTCCCACGCGCTCGCGGCGGCGGCGCTGGAACCTC